AAGATGCCGAAAACCCTTAGCAGGATGCAGCGCACCCTTCATGCGGCGACTCGCCGAATATCTCACGGCGCTTCGCGCTTGGTGATGTGCGAGTCTGGTCCGGTGAGGACCCGGCGTGCTCCGTCCCGGCTTGGTAGGGATGCGAGGTCAATGGTCTAACGACTACGGGATGCACGACTATGACACCCCCCACCCCCCCCTCGCCGGTAAATCTCAGACAATCCGCCCTCACCCAAAAAGAAAGCCGAGAAAGCGAACCGTCACTTATCCATACTCTTCTTGCACCCACCCCACCTCGTACATACCTGCAATGCTGCTCCACTCGTCTCTCCATCCAGCTGTCCCCTTCCTCCACGCTCGACCTGAAGCATCCGCGCAAACCCGACAATCTCCCTCTCCTTTAAAAAATGAATCTCCCGCGGCCTTCCCGTCACCGCCTTTCCCCCCGCCTCCTCCTAACCTGCCGCTGTTATTGCCGGCGACAACCTTGCTATTTACACCACCACCATGATAGGCGCACAGATCGCCGCCCCCGCCTCCGCCCCCGCCCCCGCCCCCGCCGAAATGAAGATTGTGACTATGGCGGCGCTTGCGCCAGGCGGTGCGTCTGTATTTGAACACGTCCATCTCGTCCTCGTCCTCATCGTCCTCGTCGTCGTCGTCGTTACCGTAGGTGCTGCGGCGCCCTCGCCGCCCCTCGCCGTACGACCCCCAGCCCCCGCCCCCGCCCCCGTCCCCGCCCCGCGCCCTCCGGCCGCTCCCGTGTCTGAGAAGACCGCCGCCGGAGTCCCCCCCGCCGCCGCCGACGCCCCCACCACTCCCTCTCCCCGAGAAACGGGCCCGCGCCGCGGCGGCTGAAACCCCACCGCCGTCTGCAGAAGGGGACGTGGGCTCGAGGCCGGAAGCGCCGGCGGCGCCGCCCATACGGTAGTCAGCAGCGTATTCATCCTCTTGTTCGTCCTCTCCGTCCTCGTCATAGTCGTCGCCACCACCGCTGCCGATGTTGGACCTGCCGCCCCTACGGTGGCCTCGCCTAAATTNCCGGCGCCGCTGCCACTGCCGCTGCCGCCGCTGTCCTGCCGTCTTCTTCTGTGCCCCCCCCCGCCCCCGCCGCCGCCGCCCCCGCCGCCGCCGGTCTCCTCGTCTCTCTTCCGATCTCTCCCGCCGCCGCTGCTCCGGGCCGACAACCTGCTGCTGCTGCTCGCGCGGTCCGAGCCGGGACCCGATTCGTTCGAGTCGTAAAACTTTCCGATCCCGTCTCCCCCGTCCGACATGCGGTGGGCCGCCGCCGCCGCCGCCACCGCCGCTCCGCCGCCGTCGTCGGCACTGGCCTCCACGCCAGAGCGCCCGGAATCGCTGCCGCCGTCTGGAGTGCTGCGACCGGTCCTGCCGTTCCTGGTAGACCGTCTGTCACCGCCGCCACCTTTTCCGACCCCGCCGCCAACTGAGCGTTTTCGGCGGTGTCCGCGTTTTGAAGCGGCGGCGGCGTAAGACTCGTCCTCGCTGCAGCCAACGCTTTGGCGGCGGTAGTGGGCGCGCAGCGACGACGCCTTGTCCATCTCTAGCTCGAACACAACCTGACACCACACAGCACACAGCTACACGCGCTTAGTCGCAACTGAGGATGACATCTGTTCACTGTTTGTTGCGCGGTCGATTCTAATACCACTAAACATGCACACACGTATGTACATATGCGCGCCGCAGACACAGGGGTGAGAGAGAAAAGGTGCATGGGGTCAGGGCAAGAGGCAACACAAACAAAGGTGCGTCAGGGAAAACCCGAGCGCAGTGGGGAGGTACTACTATGATATCAACGAACTAGCTAGGTGCCTGCCTTGGCGACGATGAAATGAATCATGCCCTACGGGTTGCGCGGGGGTTGGTGACCATCGCCGCCGCCGCGCCAACTTGTGGACACCGCGCTTGCTCTCCTTCGCCACCCAAACCGGACCGCTCTTGTGAGGAATATTGATCTCTGAAATAGAGTGGGGGGGTTCGTATCCCTAACCATAAAGCCAAGCTTGCTACATATCCCCCGCGAAGTCTTCAACCGCCCATACCTCGCCGGGTCTGTCGGATAAGAGGGGGGTCTTCGTATCTCTTTCCCTAACCCTAACCCCGTACCCCCTGCTCAAGCCAAGCTTCCTGTCCTCGGCAAGGCTACTACTGCCCACACCTCGCCGGGTCTGTCGGAGCCGAGGCTGACGTCCATGGAGTGGACCGTGGTGTTCTTCACCCGCAGCTTCCGCCACACCGGCATGCCCGTGAAGCACTTGTCGAACTGGAGGACACTTCCGCCTTCGAGCAGGCCGTCCTTGTCCGTCTCTATTCGCAGACCCTCCCGGTGGCCCTCGGACACGACCGAGGTCAGGATGTCCACAGCGAGCGTGTCCGCAACGTTGTTCAGGTTCTCCACGAAGATTCGGTAGTCCCGCTGCCCTACCTGCAACCGTGTCGTCACGTGAAGGGTTAGGTTTCGTGAGTGTTCATGGGACCTCCCATAATCAGGGCAGAAGTGCTGCGTGTGTGAGGTTACTGACTTCAGGCGACGTACGCGGGCCGTGGGCGAGAGGGGTCTCCGTGTAGCCAGTACTAAGCGGCGTGTGTCTGCGAAGTTGGTACATTGCGGGGGAACAGGAAGTTCTAAGTAGCTCTGGACGGACTAGGTCGAGATAAGCTTGATGGTTTGCTTCGCGTGACACACATCAACAGAATAATTGACACCGGTCACGCAAAGCAAACACCAGGCTTACGCACGAGGGGGTCTGAGAGGTTGCAAGGTCGGTGCACGTTGACTGGTTATACGAACCCTGGATTCCCATCTGAGAAAACCGAGAGCTTGTTGACGACGGCGGCGTCGAGGTTTAAGTCCGAAAAAATTTCTGCGAGTGCGGAGAAGCCCGCGCGTGGCGTGCTGCCGCATCCGCCGTCGCAGGAGGCAGTCGAGGACCAAGGCAACCACCACCGCAACAACACCAACAAGAACGACGACGACAACACCAACACCAACAAATAACATCACCAACAACAAGGACAAAAATAACCACTGCACCATCTGCGACAACAACACGACCACCACCTACACCACCGCCAACACCTACAAGGTACACCAGCTCTCACCTCTCGTGGCCGGAAGGTCACGCGCACTCGAAGGTGCGCGTAAGCCCCGATGGTCCGGCCGGAGCTGCTGGTTGGCAAGGGAGCCCCTGTGTCGTAGTCGGAGCAGGAGAGCACTCCCGCTTCGTCCGACAGCCAAACCGAAGGCACCAGTCGAAACGTCAGCGGGATCTCGGATCTTTCGCCCACAAGAGCGGTGGGGAAAGGGGGGCAGATTTCCATGGGGGGCGCGGGGAGGGGGGGGTATATGCGTGAGGAAGGGAGGGGAGAAGGGGGTTTGCGATCGAGAGCTAGCTGTTCGCTTGGTGTATGGGGAGCACAGAAGTGCTGGCGGCTGGACCCGGTTGTGCTGGGCATGGTCACAAAACTTGCTTGGCATACGCTTCTAGCGAATGAATGTGCTCCATGGGGCGCAGAAGAAGAAGGGCATGCTACCGTATATGACACAAGATAACACACCCCCTTGACCGATTTTCGAAGCTCGATTTCTCAACTGCGGGAACAGTAACAGCGCCGAAAATGGCGTCGTCGAAACCGTCTCGTCAAGAGCTTTTGGAAAATGTATCGTTTCGTTTATGCATCCTCTTCGTCGTGGAGGAATCGAGCTTTGAAAATCGTTCCAGGGGCTGTGTTATCTTGTGTGTCATATACGGTATGCTGTCAACACAACACCGCCACCCCCACCGACCGACAACAACAAAAGAAACAACAAGAATGACATCACCGACAACATCGATGATCGCAACATAAGAACACCAACTCACTTGTTCCAGACCGAAAACTCTTTCACGTACGACGCTCCGGGGCAAGCCTCCAAGAATTGCAACTCCGTGATGTCAGCGCTCAAGATCGACCGGCAAACTTTCGCCTGCACCTCGATCATCATCTTTTCCTCCTCCTCCTTCGCCTCCTCCTCTCTCCCTTCCGTCGCCGCGTGCGCCGCGGCGTATGTTTTGTCCGGAGGAGGTGGTCTCCTGCCGCCCTTGCTATCTACCGTTCCGATCCCTGCAGCTCTTCCTCCCCATGAAGGCGACACGCCCCTACTACTACAAACTCCCTGGTGTTCCGAAACACGCAGACAACATCGAGGGGGGGGGAGGGTTGAGGGGGGCAGCACCGTCAGGAGGACAAAACCAATGCTTATGAGGACGTAGCTTCCACCAAGAGCACAGCACTAGTGACACCCAACACAACCAGAGCACTCACTGGTCACAACAGGGAGAAGAACGCATATCCTGTGCGAGTGCAAGCACATGGAACAGCAGATATCATTATCACTTTCAAAACATAAAAACAAAACTCCTAGGACACCCTCAGGGCTCACTGTTTGGGCTGCGTCCTCGGCTGTTGAATTGCTAGGGGCATCGGCACCGGCATCCTTCCCCTCAGCCACCGGAAACTCGGGAGGAAAGCGTTCGGCCTCGAGTTCCGCCGCGGTCGCTCGTCGCGCCGAGAACCTGATCACCCCGTGCAGCCTCATGAAGTTCATCGCTGCTTCTGCCGGGTCCTTCAAAGATGGGCGGGTTAAAAAAGAAGGGCATCGCGTTTGGACGACGCACAAGCACGGGTCACAAGACAAACAAACGAACAATCGACAGAGAGCGTTGCGTTCGGGGCTACAATCACGGCGGCCGTGTCCATCCACAAGTGCAAGATTGACGATAAGGGCGCAGGGCGCGGAGCCCCCGATCGTCTTGCCCGGCAGCAATTCCACCTGCCGAACGACCGTACCGCTCCAACGAAACAAAAGATGCAAAAGCGTTCCGCGCATCATACAACAGTGTGTGTGTGTGTGCGCGCTTTTATTATTAGCATCGACCGCGCTAACCGACTGACCAATGAAAAGACGTCAGTCTCAGTGCGGCGGGAAACACAAAATGTTTCTATATGTGTGTGTGTGTGTGTGTGTTTTCTCCCATCATTGGACTCTGTCGTCTGCCCCTCTGGCCCCTATCCTCCACTTCCACCAGCTAGACGACCCAACCGGGGTCACACAGGAGGCGGGGCTTGGACCCCCTCCTGCGGTTCCTGCCTGAGATATTTTTATCGCGAGAAGGGTACAGCAATCCCTTCCCTCGCGACTTAAGTAGTCGATCAAGTTTACTAACAGCGAGCTTTGCAGCGCATCGCTTCCAACGGAGAGTAGGATTTAATTAGCGAGAAAAAACTCACTCTGTCGGGACTCGAACCCATGACCTGGCCCTGAGCAGGCTGCGAGGCTACCCACTAGACCACCGGGGCGACCGGAGTGTGTGTGTAACCTAGCGGCACAAAGCAGTGCGGAAATGCGTGCCCCACAAACGCAAAGAGAGGGAGAGAGCCACGGCGGCGGTACATAGCAGCACCCACCGCCGTTTTGAGCCGCCCAAGACCGACGACGGTCGACGGTCGCCCTTACCTGCAGACAGGGGAAGAACACGAGCACGAGGGGCTGTCGCCTCTCCGGTCGCAGGAGGAAGTCGCCCACCGTGCACGCGTGGTTGAGGAGCTCGTTGAAGTACGGCGGGGCCGAGGTCGAGTCCAGCGCAGCTTCCCGCATCGCCAGGAGGTTCGCGTTCTCCAACTGCGAACAACAGAATGTAGGCCCAATAGGAAGGGGGAAAGGGCGCCGCGGATTGGAGGGAGGGGGTCCACAAGGATTCGGGCTTGGGGTGTCGCAGGGCTTTATCTAAGCTGTGCCCTCGTGTCTTCGGCGAACAACCCCGCCAAAAGATCGCCTATGCTTGCATGTACCGTGCGTCACCCTTTGAGGGTACACGTGTCCGGGTGGGCCTTCCTCGCAAAAGCACCAAAAATTGAAGCATTAGTGCCCACCAAAGGGAAACGCGACTCGCTGAGAACATAAAACACAAACAGGTACACCAATCGGCCTTATACAAACTCACTTCTGTTGAACAGGCCTTGGCCAATGCCTTGAGAGAAAACCAACCACATATGTATCGCACCAACAATGACGAGACAGCGAAACCAACCGACGCCAATCACAACACTTCAGCCCTCACCTGAAACTCTAACGACGCCAAAACCGATGCCGTCGTTGTCGCCGCCTGCTCCCAACCCATGGAAACCTTGAGGGTGTAACTCCGCCTGCTCATCACCTCCACCTCTCGCAGCACCGCCTGCACGGAGCACACAAGGGCGCGGACGGCGGAAAGCATTAGACCTTACCTCATAAAAGCGGGCTCCGATATCAAAGAGGGTGGAAGTCGGTCGTCACGGGCTCGACACGCTACATGTACACAAGTGGTTCGGTATCCTCGTGAAAGGGGGCTCCGACATGCAGTGGGTGGCATAATATATCACTCCCCCTGAACCGATTTTCGAAGCTCGATTTCTCGGCAGGAAAAGCAATGACGGCGCCGAAAACGGCGGCGGTTGGAACCGTCTTCTCGAGAGCTTTCCGAAAACATATCCTTTGATATCGGCATGCTCTTCGTTGTAGAGTAATCGAGCTTTGAAAATCGGTCCAGAGGGTGCGATATCTTACGCAACGTACGGTAAGAGGGCCAACGCCCTTTGTCACCTCTCACACCGGAGCCGCGACTGCGGAGCCCCCGTTGCAAGGGACCGTGACACCAGGGAGGTCGACGCAAAACCCCGTCAGACGCAGCCGCCGCAACCACCAGAACCCTGTGCCCAGCCTCTTGCAGTACTTTCTGCGGGCGCAACTTGGGCCTCTCTCCCGTGTGCCGTTCCGCAACCTTGACACCCTCCCCGACCCCCTCTCGACCCCGCCCAGATGTTTGCCATCGGGGTTGGGTTTTCGTCCCTTGGCAATGACGTTGTTAAACAAGCCGCCCCCCCCGGAGTATGCCCGGTGAGTTTTCCCGGTGTTTGCCATCGGGGTTGGGTTTTCGTCGCTTGGCAACGACGTTGTAAAACAAGCCGCCCCCCCCGGTGTTTGCCATCGGGATTGGGTTTTCGTCGCTTGGCAACGACGTTGTAAAACAAGCC